GGAGGCAGCGAGGCTTTGTGCATTTAAAAAAATGTGAACTAACATGGTGGCCTGATTCTAAGTAAGCCTGTACCACTCTCCCTACTCTGAATGTTATCTAGAGAGCAATGGGACAGCAAGATCACTTTAAAACTTAATTCTCCACTGCTTTTTTGTCACAGCCACATTATAAAAGCAGATTCCTGAGGGTTTTTTTTCTGAATTGGGAAGGAAAAAAATTAAACATTGTGTCCACCCTTTTTCAAACCTCTTTGCAAAACACCCTCTAACCACCCACACAAATTAAACTCAGAATTGCCCAGAAGCATTTCATCCTTCGTGTTCATAAACTAGCAATCTTGACCTCCAGATTTTAATTTATTTTACTGAAATATTTATTTCTTTCAATAAACGAATCATTCCAGATTTGGCTCTCTTTGCAACACATTACTCAAATAGCATGACCATGAATGTAAAAATTTTATTTACTGCAATTTCTTCATCATACAAACCATGAAGTTATAAAGCTGAAGAGTTACCAGAAGAGGAACAGAGAGTATTATTAGCAAATTCCTTTCTAAAGTTTCAGTTTATCAAGTTAATGGTTAATGATTTTATTAAAACAGAGATGAAAGTCCAGGATCAAAGTTTCAAAGTAAACTGATTTTGTTGGTTCTTAAACCAGTCTCCAAACTCATTCAAAAATAACAGTACCTCGTACCCTGTCCAGAAGCTTTTAATTACCTTGCATAGGACTGTAAAGATTAAGCCCACCAAAAGTAATGGATTGACTCCTAGAAACAACTGTTTATAAAATGAAGTCCTTCATTTTAAATTTACTATCCATCCCACAAGTTTTTTTTTTATTTTAGTGCTAAGAAGAAAAAAAATAGGTTCTCACAGTTGCATAGAAGACTAGGTGTGGCCAAGGAGAAAAAAAGAAGGATCTGCACCAAAGCCATTGCTCTGTTGTTGCTCAGCACATAACAGAGCACAGAGTCAGGATATTAGTCAGCTCGCTGTGGGCGCACTGGGATTGTTTCATTGCATACCTACGTAAAATCATTCCATAAACCTTGAGGAAAAAGATCACCCCTCTTGCCTATTTATCAAGCTCTTCCAAAAAAGCTATCTATTATTCCCAATTATCTTCTAATGCTTCTCCCAGTTGTGATATACAGTCACCCAAGTGAGCACTGTCTCCTTTTGCTAGGCTTCAGCAACTGTGGTATTTCAGACTTGCCCTGATGAGCAGTGGGATCAGGAAGAGCAGCATTTGCAAATGACGTTATAAAACAAGCATGCAAAAGGGCTGAACCATCCTAGTTCTGAAACAAGGTTTTCAAGTTGATAGGTACCATTAAGGAGGACAGGACTCAGTGCTCAGATGTCATTCATCCATACGGTCTCCTGTCGATGACCTTTGCAAAGGACAAATCAATACTAAGCAGATACTGTATCTACTATTTCTTACTGTGTAGGAAAGGTCAACGAATTTTCATGTATGTATCAGTTCTAACATTACTGTTTTCAGACACAGAACTGCTTAAACCTGTTAATAAAGAAAACATTCTTATCTTGCACATAGCACCATTTCAGAACATGTGATAATTAAAAAAAAAAAAAAGACTTGAAATGGAAACTTATTTCATAAGCAAATTACAACGTATATAGAAGCTTTACCTTGTTATCATGAAATGTTCTCTTCAAATACAATGTAAATTAAATCATAAACAGCATTTGTAAGACTGCTTCCTTAGCAAAATCCATTACCACTTGTGTGTTTTACCACAGAAGTAAGTATTTCTTAAAATACTAAGTAAGCCATTTACGTTAATTTTGTACATGCCTGCTGAACCTTTTTTCATTCATATGTGCAGGCCACAGAGATTAATTCTCTTATAGTTCACTTAGATGGCAGCATATTTTGAGAGGCCTTTATAGAAATACACATTTTGGTTTATATTTAAGCTTGATCCCATTTAGCTCAATGCCAAATCTATAATACACATATTGCCACAGTTTAGGAGAATCTGATGCTGAAATCTTCGCTGAAATTTCTTGCTTCTTTTTAAATATATATTTGAATTCCCAAAGTATGCTTGAGTTTAATATTTCATAGTACCTGAAAGTTCAAGGATGAACATCAAAACTCTATTAAATTCAACACTGCGTTTGAATGAGAAAAGTATCCTGTTGTACATCTTAAACACACCACAAACAAAGCACTAAAACTTCAGTCTGGCTCTGGTTAGAAGACACTGCTGCACTATTTGATATTGCAAGTGTAAGATCTACAAGGACAATGTTTTAAAATATTCAGAAAGCTAGTATTTTAAAGCGCTTGCAAATGGGGAAAGGGTTATTTAGTACTCAGTGTAATGAATTTCTGAGTTGCATTATCTGAAGGATCGTAAGGAGATATTGCACTCATGTTCTGTAGCTCTATGGAACTGAAGCAATGGCATTTCCATACATCCGTAAGCAAAGTCATAAAAAGGATCTATAATCTTTTGATGCATACATTTAATACATTTCGGTAAGGTTTATTACAGTTCTTGCTTCCTCTTCTCAGCGTCACTCATGGTTAATGTAGAGATACAATGTTGAAAATCTCTCAGTTAATTTCAAGTAAAGGGAAGCAATGTTTTTAAGAATAAAATAGTTATTTTTACTCTTACTGTACTTGAGCTGATCAAGAGGTAAGCCGTTTTGATTATTATAATCTTGTAAATCATGGAAAACATCCACTGACTCAAATATTTAATTATTTATGTTATATTCTTGCAAATCCATGCTATGAGTGGTTTCTGTCTGTCAAGCAAATATGAAGGCAAAATCAAATCATAAAGCTTTGTACTGTGGAACAGTGTACACTGCCAGATTAGGAAAGTCTATTCTGATGCTGCTATCACCAAGATTGACAAATATAAGTAAAAAATTAAGCTTTGTGTTTAGTTTTAATTAGTTGCTTGTGTCATCTCATCAGAAAATTAAATATTTTTTTTTTTAAATCATATTGTCTCGGATTCGAACACTGAAAAAAAGCCATATTTGTGGCTGCAGCCATGTGCCAAAACCAGAACTATAAGCAAGTAATTAATTTTAAGACTTCTGAAACTACCTGCTGAATTATTCTTTCACCGAGGAAATCCAGTCTATGCACTCTGATGCAGGACAGAGCTGCCTGTCTCCCTGTCTTGTTATATTGCTTATTTTGATTGGCTGCAATGACATGGAAGTATAGATTTTTAATATACTTTTATTGCCTTTTAGATAGCTGACTTACCGACAGTGTTTTTGGGGCATTTTCTTCCTGAATTTTTATGACTATGCCTTTTTGATGACTATGCTTTTTAAATTTTTATTGGGGAATAATGGCTGAATTTCTATAGGGAAAGATGACAAATTCTATTGGGTGCGATACTGAAAATGTTCATTTGGATGCAGAGGACCTTCTTTTTTTCCCCAAAAGAAAAAACCAAAACAAACCCCAAACCAACACAAACACTGATATGATTCTTGTCAATTCCCACCCTGCTCTTATAAAAGTCTTTTTAAAGCAGGATCCAAAATAAAACAAGCTGAAGATGTCAATTCTTTTAAAGTAATCTATATAAGCTACATGGTGAAAGTCTATTTCCTTGCTCCGTAACATGAAGAACACAGAGTACAATAGTAATTAGTCTAGAAACAGCTACACTTTCTAATGTGCCTTCATAAGAAGAACAATGAAATGGCAACATTGAAATATCACCTAAGTTAAATGGAAATCAGAATGCTAATGCTGCATATGAGCCCACAGGTATGCTCAGGAGACTGAAGGGCTGTAGGTATTTCTGCAACTGGCTATAAGTGTCTTCTTTTGAAAACAGCTATTCCTCATAGATAGTCTCTTTCATTCCATTTGGCCCTACATTAATAGGTTGTCATCCTGCACAACATAAGGGAGGGTTGTGAAGAAGCAAAAATAAATACTTTCTCAAGAAAGCCAGTGGCAGCAGGGGAACAGGTTATAGCCAGCAGCATGTTACACCTAGAAATCTTGGGTTTTTTACACCCTCATAAAAGTGCAGTCAAAGAAAAAGCAGCAGAAAGGTGTAAGGCGGATTTTCTACTTTACAGCTATGCACATTACAATGCTATCGTAATGCCACTGCTGTTGATCTGAATTCTGTGATATGTTTTGGAGAAAACTTTGCTTTTAAGGAAGATAATAAAACAAAGATGAATCTGTGACACTTCTTTCCTTGCACAAAGAGTGCCATTAAAAGCAGACAAATAAACACAAAGCATATTCTTCAATAAAGACACATTTTATAAAATAGCAAGTTACCTAACACAACCAATGAGCAAGTACCTAGGTTGTATATTTCTTTATGGTGTAAACTAATGGCATGAAGTGTACTTTCAGTACGCTCTACCCTGAACTTTCAAGGGCATCCCTTATTTAAAGATTCAGTTTGCTTTCTTGTCCATACCCAGAAGCCCCAACACTCAATCTTACATTTTCTTTTTCTTTTTGCTCTTAAAAATTACACTAAAAAAAACTTTAAAAGGTATTTTATTACTCCAGCAGAAGTTAAGTACCTGCTGTAAACCAATGTACACATTCCCATAAGCTTTTAATAAATTCTCACAGATCTCTCATTACACCCTATTTAATTTCCTCTGAATTTTAACCATGTCCTTGCACTTAGTTCCACCTTACTATCTTACCATACCATCTTACTATCACTTTTGAGATTCCAACTTCTACATCCTAATTAAAACTGTGGACTTATATTACAGCATTAATTTACTACAGGACTTTAAGAATTGGGGCATCTGAGAGAAAAAGAACTGACTTTGTCCAACACTTTACTGTCCAAGTACCTTGCATTTTAAAAGTATTTCCTTTAGATGGGACAGATGACCCTCAGAAAATGACATCATAGCAAAGTGATCAAAACAGCACAGGACCAATCAAAATGAAAACTATGAAGTGTATCATACAACATCTGGAAGAAAGATTATTCTACCTGTATCGGACATGCTCGATTGTGTCATATGTCAGCTTGCTGCTGATATTCTGACTATGAGGGTTGCCTAGGAGACAACAGAGATACAGAAGTTAATGATTAATCACAATTTTGCTATTAATTTTTTCTTTTATGAAAGTATTACACCAAGTCAGCCTGAAAAGATGACAAAGAAAGATTTAACGTATACTTCACAGCAATGCCCTGAAGCTCCTTAAAGCAGTTAGTCAAGAGAAAGGACATGTTACAGAAGAAAGACCTTGAAATTTCAGCTGGATCTCTTACTAATACTTATACAGTTCCTTTAAAAAGAAAATGCAACTCCATATGCACAAAAGTACTAGGAAAAACTACAGACAGAATGCACATTCATGGATGTATTCATGCACTAGCTAAGAAGCAATTTAGAAGAGACAGCAGTTGGAGATAATAGACATTCATGATTGGACAACAGGACTAACCCTGGTTTCTTTAGTGGCTGAAATTCAACGAGCTCATAAAAACATAAATTTTATAGCAAAATTAGTAGCCACCTTAGCACAAATGTATTAACAAGACAGCACTTAAGAAGGTCATGAATTTATCTTCTTGTGCAAAAAAAGATTACAGCAATATCCACACAGCCACAGCACACTTGCCTATTAGTAAATGCTTAAAGAACACACCTAAACAGTTTGGAAAGAGAACAAGAAAAAAATTGCTATACTAATACAGTTTTTGCAGTAGGCTGAAATATTAGCTATTCTCTTTTTAAAATATCAAAATCACCCTGCTGAAAGTTATTGAGTGAAAGTGTTGAAAAGAATAATAAATTTAGAGCTCAAACCCAAAACTAATACTCAGACTTTTCATGTCTGATGTTGAATTTCTGTAATTTCCAATTCAAATATTCTTGACTTAGAAGTGAGAATCTCTCTTTCTTACATTACTTTCCCTCATTTACACATGTAACAGCTAAACTGCAGTTCTTCAGGCCTGTGGATTATCACCAAGAAAATAAAAAAAACCTGCAAGTCAAACTCCCCCTTCACTCACATCTGTGTCTGTTAAATGAACTCTTTTTATACAAGTTACTGCCCTCAGAGTATCAGAGATGTAACCGAAAAAGGAGAGATTTGACCATATTAGAGCTCTTGTTATCATTTTAGATGAAAGTAGTATTAAAAAGATACAATTTGTTCTCCCAAAGCATAATAGGTACTATGCAAATCTGCTCCAAACTGGCAGCACTACTATTTCTATTCACAAGCACTCAATTGATTCACAAATTAAATTTTTTTCCACCACAGACAGTACTTATTATAAGGGTTGAGCCCAATGTTGTTTGAAATAACTAAGATCAGAGTGCATACATCTCACTTTACAATGGCTGTAGTGACAGAACATTAATTTTAATATCACTGACATGCACTTCAATAGGAGATTTTGAATGTAATCAAATCAACGTATCTTGTTATAACAGAAAAAAAAACCTATTCCTATCAAGAACAACATCTATTTCATATGGAACTTAAATCCATGCTCTCGATCCTGGCCTTGCTACCATTCAGGAAACAAAAGAGGGGGAAATGACACATACAATGGCACACGGAAAATGAAAACTACCCAGAACTCTCAAGTGGCTCACCCAGGTAATAAGCATAAGTGTGCCAGTGCTTGAGTGAACATGGTTTTCTTTTAAGGCAGTGGTACCTAGTTTTCAAGTGAGGAATTACTCTGCTCTGTGTATCAGGGAGCACAAGAAAGACACAAAACTAGCAAAAAGGACACATATCCCACAGATAGTAACAAACAATGAGAAATTTTGATTACATCAGTGGGACTACTTATAGAGTATATAGATAATACTGTACAAGGTTTTTTATTTTTTCTGGTTGAGCATGAATCACTCCAATGTAAATTGTCTCACACAGTAACAGTATTTCTTAAACAATGGATGCTGTTGTCTTTGTATAAAAGCGCATTCAGTGCGTGGTTCTCAGCTAGATAATAATGTTAAAAAAGAGATTAAAGGTGTAAGTAGAGGATATGGACATGAAGTACTTGTAGGTGGTACTGAAGTGCCCACATCCACAGTTGCAATAGCTAAATCTCCACACAGATATTGCACAATTCTGCACATATTTTCAGTCACATTCTTAAGTTCAAGATTGCTTTGGCAATGTACATCATTTTTTCTAAGTAGGCATTAGTCTAATTGTCTGGGAAAGGTATAGCACCTACACCCTGCCCAAATTCACTTGGGATCTTTGAGCTAAGCCTTCTAAATAAAGTGCTTATACTGAGCCACAGTATAACGTCCCTGTGATGACTCTCACTGAGAAGGGGGTTGGTTCTGGATTCTAGTCCTTGCATAAGAAATTGGTTTTGCATTTTGTGGGGGAAAAAAAACAGACAGAATAAACAGTGCTCAGAGCTACACTGTATTTGTTTATCCCCAGCAAGGTGCCCTAACCCTAGGGCGACAGTCGTGCTCCCTTTGATTTTTCTTCTTCAACAACAGACACGTCCTTGGCCACCAAAAAACAAGGCTAGGGGTGACACAAAGGGACTATGACTCCTTTGTAAAATCACTGGTCCTCCAACTACTCTATAGCAGTGTTAAAAACCCCACAGAAGTACTCTTCTAACAACTCAAGAGGCACAGTTTTGATCTATTTAGATGGAAACTTGAGAAGACTAATGGGAACGTTGTTTTGCACTTACCATAAACGTTGTTTCTGAGGTCATCAGTAAAAGCTTTAAGTAGACTCTCTGGGAAAAGTGCTGAACCGGCATGGTCAAGGTAAGTAATTCCTAAAACAAAAATAAAATTAATAGATTCAATTTTTAAAATATTTAATTCCATTTTCTCTCACACTGTGAAGTGCCCCATTCAAACACCCCGTACACCACACAAAAAGGCAGTTTCCCAAAACTTCCTGTGGTATATTTCTCTGCCTGACTTAGAAGTCTCTACAGCTCTTGAAAAATGCTTCTCAAATATGTTCCAATAGTCAGACAATATTCACAGCAAGGCATCTTTCATTCACTAGCAGAAAAAAAAAAAAGGATCTAATAGAAGCCCAACATTTTGATTGCATCTTTATCATTTTTAATTAAAACCAAAATGTTTTCCTTTCGTGTTTAGATTACACATTATTTGAAAGGGAAAAAACTTTTTATTCTGCCTGTACAAGACTGAGCAAGCCAGTGTCTTCGGCCACACTACCTTGTTACTCCTTGGCACTACTTAAGAAAACTACTATTACCACAATGATAATAATTATTATTAATAGCAACAACAATAGTAGTGTTGCTTCCTTGCTGACAAATGGAGCAACTCTCTCAAGAACTGACAAGGCCTAAATCATGCTTAAAGTCCAAAGACAGGACTACTTTGAGATTTAATGTATTTAAACATTTCTTGCCACTCTGCTGCACTTAGCATTCAATTCATTTTTAAAATCTCCTTTTATATTATTAAGCTATTGCAAAACTTTTAAATAAATGCTTACTGGAAGCTAAGGCTTTTTCATGTTTGGCCATTTTAGATTTCTTAATCTTTAGCAATTATTCTTCCATTTCTCCAGTGTGTTTCATGCCCTTTATTAGTTTTTTCATTTCACTTACCTTAAGTATTTCAACCTATTTCAAATTTTAATAATGAAGAATACGATTAAGATTAGAATTTATTAAGTATTTTAAAGGCCTTCCCTTTCCATAGGGATTTAAAACTGAGTTAAGCTTTAAACAAGAAGCCTTGACACTTGAAAACATGTATTATTATATATTATGTTGCTGTAGCAGTGATTCAGTTGGTAAAGATTTGAGGCAGTGCTATGATAAAACCAATATGGATAACCATCCCCTCTTACTTCCAAAAGAGAAAAGCTCTCCCTGCCTTAAGATTTCCCCAGTTACAATATATAGCAAAAGCAGAATTTTTAATGATGGCTTGAAGTTAATCAAGTGTTTTAAGGTGTTCTGAGGGATGGAGCATGGACAAAACCTGGACTGATTTAGTATATGTACAGAATTTTTAGGTTTTTACTCTTTTTTCTTAAATTCTAGAAAGTTTCTCTCAAGCAGTATGAAGTGGCACATACAAGCACACAGGTATCAGCATGCATATGGGGGTTCATCTGGCCCAGTTTCTGACAGGAGAGGTTACAGCTGCTCTGTAGCAGCAGAGAGATTACAGCTGCTCAGCTCACTCTCAAAACGCCGGGTGTTTGGAGGGAGAGAGGCATGCTGCCTCCTGGCAGGAGACAGCCAGGCCCCTGCCTGGCAGAGTGGCATGGCCTCTGCCAGCAAGGGGACACAGCACGAGGATGGCAGCTTTCCCTCCAGCCATACGCCTACTGCGGCTGCCCTGAGACCAGGGCCTGCCCTCCAGCCTGGTACCAAATGCCTCCGCTCTGAGGTGGAGCTGAAGCGGGGAGTAACAGCCATCAACACGACACAGGGGCCCAGCTCGATGGCAGAGCTCGGGGCTCTAAGCAACTCTCAGTCACTGGCTACAGCTGGGAGAGCTGGGGAAGGCTGGCCTAGAGCTGAGAAAGGAAAGAAGCACCCCTGAGCCAGAAAGAGAGGGGGAAGGACTGCCATCCTGGAGGTGACCATCCTGTCCAACACTCTTTCTCAACAAAGCCCACACAAAGATGCCATTTGGCCCATTAGCTCTTATGGGCACCACAAGCACAGCCTAGTGATGCTCCTCTGGAGACAGACAACCACCATTTTTGGATCCTTCCAGCCCTAAGGAGATTGACAACACTGAAGTGATAACACAACAGTACAGCACGAGCAAAAAACAAGCAGCCAGCTGAGGCTCCTCAAACACAAACCACCCACCAATAGTGGATAGGCGCTTTCCATCCCAACCAATGCTCCTGTGAGGTAATATGGACTAAAAGATCTCTAGGTAAAGGCCCCCTAAGTGATTCATTATGTAGCTCATTATGAAGGACAATACTGCAGTTCTGTGAAACAGAGGTAAAAAAAAGCTGGTCATTTTAAAAATTCCTCCTCTGGGTATATTACTTAGAAAACAGGGGAGAATATGTGGCTGAGGAAGGAAAAATTATTAATATTTAAAGTTTTATTTTATCTTTAATGTTGCTGTTTAATTGAAAACAGAGAACAGCATTCAATACTCTCAATACTGCCCAAAAAAAGAAATAGGCTCTCTCACCATTTGAGACTGCACTGAAACAAAAATCTTTATTGCTATTACACTTTTATGCTGTAGTTTTTTCCTTCCTGTCTTATTTCAATAAAACTATATTTTTAAAGGAAAGAAAAAATAATGCAGCACGTGCATAACACCACCAAAGAAACAAACATTAATAACGTTCATTGTGCTTTTTCCCTGGTTTAATAACATTTGCTATTTTAATTTTATTGAGCGCCCATTAACCAAAGAGATTTGTAAGTATTTACAGAATTATATAGTTCTTCCTGTTTCACTGTGGTATTTAGTATATAGGCTGTCAGCACTATGAAATTATACTGTTTATGGGAAGTAACAGGAGAAAAAAATTGTAGTATGATCAACCAGAAAAAAATCAAAACGCAATATCCATCATGACATAGTTTCATTGCTCAGGGAAAATGTAAAATTAACTTTTAGTTTAATTTACATACTATTATGTTTGGAATGTGTAACTGACTTCATTGATCTAATAATATACCAACTATTTTGATAAAATCACATTTCGGATGTAGTTTTTTTCACTAGGAGTATTGAAAACCATTCAATGTGTCAGCATTAGTTACAGGAAGTTATTCAGCAAGAGTATCAGTTCATAAGATGTAATATTCATATGCTAACATTCTTGCAGATTAATTTTACAAGGGGAACTCTTTGGGAACCAACATGAGCCAGTCTGTCGTGCTGAAGAAAGCCCCAGCCCAGCTCTCTGTTCTGTGCTACAATTCACCTCTTAATAAAGCATCTGCCATGTCTGTGTGCCTGTCTTGGCTCTTTGTAAAACTTCATGAGGGCACATGAACACAAAGCCTCAGAAATGCCTGGGGACCATTTAGTTTAACAGAACATTTCTATCTCTTAAGCGAAAAAACATAATTTAATTTGGAACATTTTAAAATTAGAGTTTAAGACCAGGTGAGAAGACTCAACTGTATGTAGTCTGACCGCCTCAAAAAGGCAAGAAGAAACTACCTGGATTAATCTTTTGGAAGTAAAATTCTTGCTTCTGACAAAAGCACGCTTTCCTAAAAGGGGACTCCATCAGACTTCGAAGAAATTTAAAGACATCATTTCATGAACAGAGAGTAGAACAAGGTGGATACATCTTTATTAAATCTCTTAGTAATTATTAAGTTATGTACAGACCTACCACCCAGAGGATGGTCTAGAGCAGGGGGAGCATAGAGAAACCATGGAGGCACTCCTTACAATGGCCTGGTGGCACATGGAGAGTAAGCTTTCTCCTCCACACCCCATCATAAACCCATGCCATGTCACCCAGCTCCTATATGGCTAAATTATTACTATTTGGTATTATATAACCTGCTTTTTTAATCCCTGAAAATGTTCTTGGTACTACTCATTTCCAATCTTTGACGGAGTATCACTTCCAAAAATAATTCCCACATTCCATGTGGCTGCTCCATGTCCACCTCCTTAACCTTTTGCTATCCTGTGAATCTACCACAGTCACCAAAACAAGCTAACCTGCACTGTGGCTTCACAGATTATTTCTCACAGCCCCGGCACTTCAAAATTCCTGCACTCCAGCTGATTACAGGCTGCCAGTTACATTGCCAAAAGTTTCATAATGAAGAACAAAATGTGTAGTTACAAGGCAGTAACTGTACAGAGTAATGAATTTTGATTGGTGAATATAATTGCAATTCAGTGGGATTATATACACAATATTACTTAGAAAATAGCTAGAGCCAATGCCCTGGGGAGACAGCATACATCGTAAGTACAGCAATATTAACAAAACCAGTATGAAATAGATTATATGAAAACAAGCTGAAGGCAAAATAAAGCATTATCTATCAAAAGATAAATATGACAGATTTTCATACACCAAAACAAAAGCAAGAGAACAACCAACAACAAAACAGGGAGAAGAGGGTTGAGGTTGTAGACAAGTGTGATATCATTTGGACGCAGTGAGGTTTTAGCAGATAGTATCACATCAGGTACCATAGGTTATTTTCATCATCTAAGTCAGATGCCCTTTAGAGGCAGCTCACTCTGTCCATTGCATAAGAACGTAGCTTCCCCCTGGGATGCTCCTAAATTAAATATCAAAAGTGGCTTTAACTATGTAATACATGCAACCTTTATAAAAGTTCCTGAATTCTCATGATGATACAGGGCATGATATGCTCACACATAAACAGACAGATAAAGATCGTGGTTCTGCAAAACCATTAATGAAGTACATCAAAAGAAAAAAAAAATCCTACTAAGATTTGCTTGTGGTGGATATTTTTGGGGTTAAACATTTAATAAATATTGTTAACTGTACCTTCAGTTTCAGTTTGGCATCAATTTAAACAAAAGCTATCAAAACCAGTGTATGTTTTTTTAAGTACTGACATGCCTCTCACCTAAACACTCCTGGTCTGTTAGATAAGGTAATGTTTTGTTTCCCTTGCTTAGGGACAACAAGCTCTTCAAAAGACCACAAAAGCATAGTCCTTGATATACATAGATGCCCAGTCTGAACAGTTACCATGCAGTTAAAGGAGACACTGTTCCTCAGCATGATTTGACTTAATTGCTACAGTCCCGGAGAAGTAACGCAGAAATCAGCGCACAGCCATGGGGCACGTTCTGCTTCCCACTGCCAATCCACTGAGTTCATCAATTCAAGCAATCACTGCTCAACCCGACTGCCAAATGCTGATCCGCACTGGACTGAGAACAACCTGGATAATGGTATCAATATTTTAAGGGCTGCTAACAAGTGACTGAGTTCTGTGGGAAAATGGTGTTTAATTAATGTATTTTAGTGTTTGACTTGACAGACTGATTACAAAAAGCAAAGCGCGAAATGTGCAATTACATTTATCTGTAATAAGTTCCCATTATTTTTCTCCACATGCTATTGGCTTGCATTATTTGCTCTCATTGCTTATTACCTACAGCAAAGCAGACAGAACATTAGAACAGTTTACAGTCAATACCATACACCCTCCTCGTTTGCTGTACTCTTCAGCAGGGGCCATAACAACTCCACAAAAGCTATTTAGGTGACTAGGGTTATTCCAGTAAGCACTGGCACTATTCTATGTACATGAGCCCCTGCTTGTGGCTTATAGTTTACAACTTGCTGATATTAAGGTCTATGTGAGTGTGGTGGTGCAATTCTTACCCCTCCCTGCCCTCCTTGTTGGGCTGCTTGGTGCTAGGTGTGATTCCATCCACATTTCCCCAAGCCACACACCAATCTGTGGAGATAAGGACTAATAACCTTAACGAGCCTGGCTCCTGCCCCCTTCTGATTGCTCGGAAAGGGTTATAATGGCCCATCATCTCCTGATGGCCTGGCACACCTGTG